TCTATTGCACTGCGCCCGCAAGAAGAACAATTGGATGTCCCGGGACACTGTTAAAACACTAACTTATTGATTATTATTATTATTATTATTATTATTATTATTATTGTTGTTGTTATTGAAACATAGCCCTGAGATTTTAGACACAGGGCCCTAAACTTTTCTATAGCTGGCTGTAGCTGTATCTATACATTTTTGAAGCCGACCATGCAAAGCTACAGGGGGTGATAGCCTCCCATTGAATTTCCCATAGACGACCATAGGCCATTTTTTATGGGATGTCTCGGACTGGTTTATTATGGGATTTGCCTCTTTATGTGTGTGAGTTTTTGTGCATGTCACCATTTTCTCAAATGAATATTTTACTCGGGTTGACATGGTCATGGGACAGGTTCTAGCAGCATGCCATAAATATTTGTCAAACATTTTCACAATATTTTGATTTCATGTTGCCAGATATAAACTCGAGACTAACTGATTTTCTTAGTGTACACTTCCATCAATAAATATTTGTAAAAAATGCTACTATAGAGCATTTCACCCTACTTTGTGATTTCTGAGCATGGAGTGATTTGTAAGAAAATTAAATATGAACTCATATATAAAATTTTGTTTGCAAACATAAAAATTGTATGCAAAAGAGGCACTTTATTATTAGCTATTTGCATGAATTACAACTGACATTATAAGAAACTAGACTGCTAACAACTGTTGCTTTTCAAGCAGAAATCTTACCTGTACATTATGTACAGAGCCATATATAAGCTTTCCAAAACCATTTCACATTATTTATTCAGCGCCCTCTTCTACACCCTTCTCACATTCTTCACTAAATGTAGGGTGTAACACGAAACAGCACCTTTTTCGCTAAAATTATGAGGTTGTATTTCTAGTTTTTAGGGTGTTAAAAGGGTGTAGCCGAGGGTGTACGTTGCCACAACACCCCTTGTACACCCTTAAAGGTGTAAAAATGTTTATGTGTAGTACGACCGAGCATCACTGGCGTCAATCACCACGATAGCGTCAATAGCGTCACGGTGTTGCCCACCACCCTCCAACAACCACGTTGTTAACAACAAAACCAGCGTTCTGCACATCAAGGTCGAGATGTTCATTTTCTTTTTCTTTTACGCGTGGTTCGATTTTGAACGTTTCCGTTGCGTTTTTAACCGAAGCTGTTAGCTTTCCTTGGCTCAGGAAATCAGTATCCTAGCACCTATATGAAACATTACTGAGACTAGCTTAAGTTTAATCAATATATGAGAGACGTCTTGTTTAGGCTCTTCCAAAACACAAAGACTGAAATATCCAATCTTATCCGATTCAAGCACAAGCTGATCGGGGTGTGTGGCAAGCGTGGCGGTTTACTAAGCTGAGTGCATTGATACACCTATAGGTTTTTAAGATAGAAAATTGGGCTTATGGTCGGTATACAGCTACACTGGCTAAGTAACGGAGGGTGCGTCTTCCACGAAAGGGGACCATGTGCGCCCGATGCACCCGACTACAACTTTTTTTTCTTCGAGTGCAGTTGGGAAGTAAATATGTGGAGCACTAACCGAAAAATCGCGGATGTGGTATTCGCGCTAAAAGGGCCGCGCATCGACAGAGCGGTATTGTTAGCGCGAAGATGACGTCGGCGCTGTTTTCGTATTTTATTTTCATAGAACAACGACGCGCACAATATTTTCCCACTTCTAGTAATGTTCCAAATGAACATATCGCACGACAGTGCTAGTTCAAGTCTAACGAAAAAAAACTGAATAAAACGGTGATCGTTTGCTTGCGCTAACAGTGTTTTCGCGATGCACGCACTAATATCCTGCCAACCACTCGCTCATGATGCTTCTCTCGCTGCCCGTCGTTATGCCAAAGTTTCGTCAACGAGATGAAAGTTTAGATTATGGGTGTCCCTCCGGCGAAACTGAAAATCAGCACTTTTGGCCGAACACTTGTCGACTATGTTTATGTCCACGGCGGCCAAGCTGAGAATCAGCTCTCCTGGCCAAACACTTGCCGGCCGTGTTTTTGTCTCCGCCGGCCAAGCTGAAAATCAGCACTGCTGGCCAAACACTCGCCGGCCGTGTTTATGCTTCCGGCGGCCAAGCTGAAAATCAGCACTACTGGCCAAACACTTGCCGGCCGTGTTTATGTCTCCGGCGGCCAGGCTGAAAACCAGCACTTGTGGCCAAACACTTGCCGGGCGTGTTTATGTCCCCGGCGGCCAAGCTGAAAATGAGCACATCTGGCCAGACACTTGCCAGCCGTGTTTATGTCCCCGGCGGCCAAGCTGAAAATCACCACTGCTGGCCAAACACTTGCCGGCCGTGTTTATGTCTCCGGTGGCCAAGCTGAAAATGAGCACTTCTGGCCAGGCGCTTGCCGGCAGTGTTTATGTCTCCGGCGGGCAAGCTAAAACAGCTAGTTTGTGGCCGGACCCTTGCCGGCCTTGTTTATGTCTCCGGTGGCCAAGCACTTAAAGTGGCCAAGCTGTCCAGACACTGGCCAACCGTCGGCCGATCGAAATTCACTTTCTGGTGCTGCTTGGGAAGCTTAAAAATAGTGCTTTACAATGAAATTATTTTGAATGAATTTAAACCTAAATTCAAGGAAATGATCCATACAGAGTATCATTTGAGTACCGCTAGCACATAATTCAAAATCTCAGGCCATCTACTACGATGTTATTTGATGACACTTAGATGTCCTAGAATGAAATTTCGAAATATAAGCCTTTTAAGGCAGGTTCTACGACTAAACCGCTAGAGTTGTGCTTCTCATTTCTATGCTGGGTTGCTAAATTCGTCAGGAATAAACTCTTGAAGTTTGTTTCTTAGTTACATGGCTGTATTGAGTTATGATACTTTCAGTGTGCTTAAAAACGACACTTCTCAAATAAGTATTAAGAAATGCATATGTGCACTAATTCGAAAACAAACACGGAAATAACAGGTAAATACGAGATCGCACAAGCCGTATATTTAGTTATTAACATACTGACAACGCGACGTGGTTTGCATTACAAATCTAGAAACACATATATACTAGAGGCATGTCTTAAAAAAAATAAAAATTTCCGATTTTTTTTAGTGCGAGTTACGTTAGCATATATATATATATATATATATATATATATATCTGCTAACGTAACTCGCACTAAAAAAATCGGAAATTTTGATTTTTTTTAACACATGCCTCTAGTATATATGTGTTCTTAATAACCTTATATTAAGAATAACCCATAATAAAAACCATATAAATTCAATATTATTTTCTTAGAAAAGGAAAACGTACGTGACTGCGAACGGCCGCGAGGTTACGAAGAAGGCGGCGCAATTTGAAAAATAAATAATAAATAAATAATCGCGACACCGGTATACCGGTGTCGCAACAACCATCCCCTGGTGGCTAAAAAGGCTGCATTATTGTGTACCATATAAAAACAAATTATTATTGGCCATTCACTAGACGTCGAGCAATACTTTTGTAAAAGAAACGAAATATCATATCTTTTTGTTCACCTAGTGTATATATATATATATATATACTGTTGTATTGTCACTAGCTTTTTATTTCTGCACTGTCATTCCCGCGCATGCTAGTCGGTACCCCGTCGTTCCTCCTCCCCCCCTTTCCCTCACCCTATCAGTATCCTCCTCCCGCTCAGAAAACTATATATTGCGGAGCACAACCGAATAAAGACGTTGATAAGCTGCCACCAGCTGTTCTTCGGTTTTCTTCACGCCGCACGCGGTGGCTTAGGCGAAGCAGCAGTGGCGACGAGTCCGGACCTCGCCCAAGCGGACAAAAAAAGCCCCGGAGGCAGCCATACAGCTCAGCAGCGTCCCAAGGACAGCTATGGCCCATTAGCAACTACCTGAATTCGACGAAGACAAAGATAAGTAAAAACCTTATCCCATTAAGGTCGAAGCCTACTTTGAGGCTAACACCGTCGCAGACTCTGCTAAAAAAAGAGCGCTGCTAGTGGCGGCACTAAGCACGAGGACTGTACAAGTACTAGCAGGAAGAGTAGCCCCCGCAAGCCAAATTTTTTGACTTATGAACAAGTTGTACAAGCCCTGAATTAATACTACGACCCCAAGCGGCACAAAATAACGGAAAGTTACAAGTGCTTCAACTGCTGTCAAATGGAAGGCGAGTCTGTCCATGCGTTTCTGGTTGAAATACGCCGGATAGCAGACAATTGCAACTTTGGCAGCATGTTGGACCGCATGCTCAGGGACAGAATCGTTTGCGGGGTGCGCTCAAGTACGTTACAAAAGCAGCTGCTTGCAAAAAGAGAACTAACACTAGAGGAAGCCGAAGCGTTAGCGGTTTCGGCGGAAACAGCCGAAAACGACTCCAAAAAATATCTTCGGGGCCAGCGGCACTACTGCAAGTGAAAGCGCGTCGTCATTCTTCAGCACAAGATAACGTAAAGCGCGATGCCCCGCGAGAGTGCGGCAGGTGCGGGAGCACAAAGCATGATGACAACAGCTGTGGCTAGGCCAAGTCTCGTTGTTACCGTTGTGGACGGCATGGTCACTTGGCAAAGAAATGTCGGAACGCTGCTGCCCGCAAAAGCCAAGTGACTAAGGCGGCTCACGCAACGACCTTGGCTATTGCTGAAGCTACGTCAGACGCGGGAGGCAGTGATGAAACGCACATCTAGACTTTGATTTCAGAAAGGAAGAACTTTCTCGAACCGCCGATTTGCCGCACGTTAACGTGGGGGTGGAGTAGAACTACCAATGGAAGTCGACACCGGATCTCCTGTTTGTATCATCACGGCAATTTTTTTGAGAAACATCGCAAGGTGTGGCCGTGCTTGAAGCTGTCAGGTGTTAAGCTGTCATGCTAGACAGGTCGTATTCCAGTGTTGGGTGAGCTCCAACTCCCTGTGTGCTACAAAGGCGTGGGCGTCTACAGCTCCCTGACTACTGGACTGTTCGGGACCAAGACTATGCGGCCGGGACCTGCTTGCTAAGCTGAAGGATGCCGAGATGTCTATTCTGCAGTGGGCCGGGCACGACTCTGCAGCGCCAGACCCAAAATGCAGCTCATCAGTCAGCATCCTTAGTGGCTACCAGGATGTCTTCTCTAGGGACCTGGGCGTAATCAAGGGACCTCCAGCCAGCCTGCAACTGAAGGACGGCGTTTCCCCCAAGTTCTATAAGGCGAGACCCATCCCTTATGCGCTTCGTGATAAGGTGTCGTTAGAGCTTGAACGGCTAGTATCTCTCAGTGTGCTATCACCTGTAAAACACTTGGAATGGGCAACCCCCATAGTCCCAGTACTCAAGAAAGACGGCAATGTACGAATTCGTGGTGATTTCAAAGCCACATTGAACTCCGCCTGTGCAGTTGAACAATATCCGCTGCCTGTTATTGAGGATATTTTTCACGCTTAAATGGTGGCGAAAGTTTCAGCACCTTGGACTTACGAGATGCGTATAATCAGGTGCCATTGGATGAAGCTGCGCGGAAGCTTTGTGTTATCAACACTCACAGGGGCTTGTTTTGTTATAATAGGCTTCCGTTTGGCATTGCCTCTGCCCCGGCAATCTTTCAAAGAAAAATGGACGTGATACTTGCGGGCCTGCCGTGTGTGCAAGCCTATCTTGGCGACGTGCTTGTATCCGAAAAAAAGGACGATAACGGCGAGCGACTGAAAACCGTGCTGGAGCGATTTCGCGAACACGGTGTTAAACTGAGGTATGACAAGTGCACTTTTCGTCAACCGGCCGTCACTTATCTCGGTCATCGCATAAACAAGCGAGGCCTTCACCCAACTGACAAAAACGTGGACGCAATCACACAGGCACCCAGCCCACGTAACATAAGTGAGCTCCGTTCGTTCCTGGGAATGTTGACGTTTTATGCTAAGTTTCTGCCAAGCATGTCAACTCTCCTCGCTCCGCTATATCGGCTATTGGAGAAAAATTCACGATGGCAGTGGAAACAACCACAGGAAATCGCTTTCAACAGGGCCAAGCAATGCCTTAACGAAGCGAAGGTTCTGGTGCATTTCGACCCGTCTAAGGAGCTAAAGCTAGAATGCGACGCATCGCCGTATGGCGTGGGAGCAGTCCTGTTTCACACCTCGGGCAACGTTCACTAGCCCATCGGGTTCCGCTCTAGGATTTAACACAAGCAGAACGGAACTATTCTCAGCTTGAGCGAGAGGGATTTTCTCCTAGGTCGAGAGTTTACCTTGGTTACTTACCACCAGCCACTCCTGGGCCTCCAGAGAGCTGACCGTCTGACTCCGGCAATGGCCGCCGCCCGGATTCAGCGCTGGGCGCTTTACCTGGGTGGCTACCGTTATAAACTGCACTACGTGCCAGGAAAGCAGTTGCTGAACTCAGACGCCCTCAGCAGATTGCCGATGCTGGCAACGGAGCCGGAAGATGAGGGTGAGCCCCCCGAGTATGCTCTCTCCTTGGAGACCTTGGAGACCTTGGATGACGACGTGCTGACAACGCACGAGCTAAAATATCTTACGGCCGCCAATTTCACCCTACCTCGAGTCAAGCAGTACATATTGCGCGGCTGGCCTAAAAGCACGAAGGGACTGGAGCCTTCTTTGCTGCCATTTTATGATCGCAAGCTGGAGTTGTCGGTGGCACACGAACTAGTATACAGGGGTAATCGAGCGATCATACCGGTAATGGCCCAGTCAAGAATGCTGCAGCTACTGCATGAAACACACCAAGGTTCCTCGGCTATGAAGTCTGTTGCCCGATCGTTGTTTTGGTAGCCAGGACTAGACCGCGACATCGAAAGACTATCAGCTAACTGCCACAACTTTATAATAAACTTGCCCATGCCGACAGCAGCACCCCCGGTGCCTTGGCCGAAGACCCTAGAGAAGTGGTCTCGGCTACACAGATTTTGCAGGACCGCTAGCTGGGAAGATGATACTCGTAGTGGTGGACAGCCATTCCAAATGTATCGAAGCTGTACCCATGAAACATACTGCCACAGCAAGTACGATCAGCTGTCTACGCAACATTTTAAGCCATTTCGGCGTTGCACGTACAATAGTTTCTGACAACGGAACGCAGTTCACTAGCCAAGCATTTGCCATATTCGTAAAGAGAAACCACATCCCTCACCTCCGCACAGCCCCTTTTCACCCTCAGTCGAACGAAGCAGCCGAAAGGGCAGGCCGAACAGTGAAAGATGGCCTTCGGAAGACAAACTGTTGAGGGTGCTATTGAACTATAGAAGGACTCCTTAGCGCACGGGGAAATTGCCTTCCGAGATGCTACTGGGTTACCAGATACGTTCTGGTTAGACGCATGTTTTCTCAAACTGTCGTAGAGCCACCACAGGGACGTGATGACTGGGCGGTACAACCGGACAGCACCCTCTATGTGCGCAATTACGGCGCCGGTGAAAAATGGACACCCGGGCGCGTCCAGACCACGACAGGAGCTCGGATGGCGACCGTGGAAACCCCCGCAGCGGTTATTCGGCGGCACACCGACCACGTACGCCCCCGCCACGACGCAAGCCCGCAGAGTCTGCCAGATAGCCGCGCATCAAACGCTACAGAGGCTTCAGGTCGAGCACCGCCTTCCAAGACGTCGATGCGGCTGTGGGGCCTACCCCTCAGCTATCTCCCGACAGGGACCAGTGGCTAGATGACCCGACTACGCCCCCACCCTCTACCACGAAGACGGACGCAGGTGGAGCTCAACCAGCGACTCGACGGTCGACGAGACTTCGTAAACCAATAGATCGGTTTCACTATTAGGGGGAGAGAAATTGTTGTATTGTCACTAGCTTTTTATTTCTGCACTGTCATTCCCGCGCATGCTGGCTTCATTTCTCCCGTTCGCCGACACAAGAGGTAGTCGGTGCCCCGTCGTTCCTCCTCCCCCCCTCTCCCTCACCCTATCAGTATCCTCCTCCCGCTCAGAAAACTATATATTGCGGAACACGACCGAATAAAGACGTTGATACGCCGCCACCAGCTGTTCTTCGGTTTTCTTCACGCTTCACGCGGTGGCTTAGGCGACGCAGCATATATATATATATATATATATATATATATATATATCACATTTTGACTTAAGCTATTAAGATGAATAGGCCGTTTTTTTTTAATTTTGGGACCGCCGTCTTAGCACAAATTTTGTTAAAGCGTTATGCTAACCTAAACATATTAGTTTTAGTTAAACTCGAACTTTATTAAATAAAAAATTCCGGTTTCTTTTATTAGCTGGACAAAACCAACACCCGCCGAAATCGGGACAATCGCAGCCATACCCACGAAATGACAGGGCTAAATGTCAGTTTAATTTTAAAATGTATTGTGCGCAGTGCATAATTAGCACGAGGTTCAATTTGTTCAGTTTTCGAGCAAAAATCACGTTGTCTAATTAATATATTTTTGCGGTTTTTCATCTCCTTAGCACACTTTCTAAATAATAGACTCGAGTATTACTCTGAGAGAAGTACTGGCGGGGAATTATGTTTTTATAGTGAAGACTAATAAAACACGGAAATTCGCGAGCACCCACAGAGGTCATGTCCTTTCGTTACCAAAAAACGCAATAAAAATATACTAATTCTAACATCTTCTTCACCTTTTGTATGGGAAGTTTTGAACACCTATGAAAAAGCAATTACTCCCATTCCATTTCGATCTTCTACTTTCTTTTATCGCCATCGAACTCTATCATCTCTCCTATAGATAAAAATGCCATCAACCGTCGGGTTTGAGAACCGACGTATCAAATCACTGGCATAATGTTCTTGTCAAAACTTTCGTTCTTGTTTAACTTTCCGTGACCTAAAGCATTGCGGAAAGAGCGCCCTTCCGCCAGGACCAAGCGGATATTCGAGAGCGGTAGGGTGTTACAAGCTTGTCTGCCTGAAAATCTTTCAAAAGGCGTTCCCTACGCGTCGTTGAGCTTCCACCTCCTCATCATCCTCCTCCACACTTCCCGAATTGGGGAGACGCGGGAGGGGATTGGTACAGGAGGGATTCCAAACAAGGCTGGCGCGCAATCAAAGTTCAATTAAAGGGGCACCCTTTCGAGGCCCTACTTCAATACCGTTCTTCATCTCACTCTAGAATATCACGTGAGCGCGATTTAAAAATCGTCTAGCTTTCCGTCACGTCGGACGGCCGTTAGATTTCGATTTGAGCGATTCCGGGTCGTAGGCGATTTGATCCACGCGCTATTGCGGCTCTGAAATTACAAGACATGTTGCGAATCAAAAGTGCAGGATTTCAGGGGACGGATTTGGGTCGTGATTAAAACACGAAAACGTTTGCTCTTTGGCTTGATTTGTTGAGACTGCTTTGCCTTCAGATGTCGAGAATGTCTACGTCAGTCATCAGCTGTGACATCAGCTAGAAAATAATACATTATGCATATAAGTGAAAGTTTTAAGTTTCTCGCTTCGTAGAGTAAGTGGTACAGCATGTTCATGTAATTCCAACATCTGTCTTTTGTTTTCACATGTTATTCAACTAGGAAAATTAAATCAATAATATTTACTAACGTAGTGAACTAAGCGAGTTGGCAAAAGTTATACAATCTAAAACCACTCAAACGACGAAGACGAGCTGAAGAATCGAACACGACGGTATGAAGCTGTGGGAAGTATAGAAAGAAACAGGACAGCTTTGTCTTATCGTGTTCGTTTCTTCACTTGGTCGACGTCGTTTGAGCTGTTTTGTTTATGTATAACAACAAAATTTAGTTTGGCGAAGTTTTAACGCCATTGTTGAGCAGGTATATTGTGGAAGTGCTAAACATCTTCGGATTTCCCGGCAACTTAGAGCAGAAGCTTTGCATTCTTACCTTTGTACCTAATTGAATTACTGTAATTTAACAAGCCGCCACGTAAAGATTTTTTTTTTTTTTTAATTTGATTTGCGAGTTTACCACGAGGGGGCAGAGATTGCTTGAGTTTAACATTGGTGGAATTTCAACGTTTTGTGTGTGAACGTTTATGCGCTTGAAGGAAGAAACTAATACCGAAGTCGGGCGAGCACAGTAAATGCCTTAAAACGAACTCTTTTAAAGTGTCGCCGAACCAGCGCACGCTGCTAAGCACATTACCGCCAGCTAATTTTCCGATTCTTTACACAATTCGTTATGAATGCCTTTAATATGCCCGTCTGACTCCGGTATAACTTGCGAAACGTAAAATGAGCATACCATTTTTACATTATTCAGCGAAGGCGAACAAACTGAGGTTCCTTGACCGCCAGACCGGAATCCGTCGAACCTTCGTTGGTCTTATGTGCCGCGATATTTTGTCTTACTATTTCTAGACAGACGTTGAAGGACGCGAATCCGCTGCTATGAGTTCGAAATGTTATCATACCGAAATAAAATGGTGAAGAGCTTGTTTTGTTCTCCTTAGTTCACACAAAATCTAAAATGAAGAGGGTGAAGCTGTGGAAGGAAGCAAATCGCAGTTTGTCACAAAGGAAATCACATACATGCCATTCGAGTTGAAGCGCTGTAAAAAAAAAATATCTCCACTCAGTGCTCATATCTGCTACCTCGTTCCAGTGACTGTGTAGTTTTTTTATAAGCTTAAAACGTTCGTATGAATATTTCCTAAAAACTACATTTTTTTCAAGATCTACTACCGGCACAGCCGAATTCGGCAAATTTCAAGGGACTGTTTGTGAATATTGTTTTTCTTTTATGAACTGTGTATACTTCTTAATAACTACTGATTCATATTTTCTCTATTTTTACATATTATTTTACTCATATTGCACACTCTTTACTGTAATGCATTGGCTATCTCACTATACAAGTAAATAAATAACGTCCATCGGTATACTATTTCAGTTTTCTTTTACACTGTAAAGAACCGCCTGCGCGTGTTCCTTGCAGCAGGGCACACAGCAAGCCAATCACTGCAATCTAAGGAAAAAGCACAGCACGAAGCTCAGCGATTGACGAGGGCCGAGAAACTTTGCGAATCGAAATTCAGTTGTGCGACGTGGTATAACTAAGGGAGAGAAGAAGACAAGAGCGCGTGGGAACGTCAAGACACCGAGCACTGGTTGGAATGACTAGTGGGTATACCTAAGGCTAACTGACTGTCTACGCTGCACTCCTCGAACGTATTCGAATGCGAGAGCCGGACGCCGGACGCCGACGTTCACCAGCGAAGGCCGACGCTGGACGTAGATTCCAGTCATATTTGAGCCGGAAGTTAGCGCAATCTTCGAGTCGAATTTGTGACCAGCTTTGGCCTTCGCGGTGGACGACATCTCTATCAGAGCTATGGCTTTGTTATCTAGGAAGTGTTGGCTCTCGCCCCCTCCCTTCCCTCAGTTTCTCTTTCGTATTGGAGCACGGTAGGCAGATATGGCATCACGCAGAATAGAAATAGAGGTTCCACCTGTAGACAAACACCGATAAACATCCAGCGGTGAACAAATACAAACTCGGTTGAAAACTGGAAAACACATATATGTCTCGATATTTTTTTCTCCAAGCAGGAACTGCGTCTGTCGAAACCCTCGTTTCTTAGACGTGAAATGAAGACGATGGCACGAGATATTAAGTCGGTTACAGTTACTGATAGATTAAGAAACGCAGGACGTGGTCTCTTATGTTCACGCTTCTTGCTTCGTGATTCGTTCTACGACGTACTTATCCGCCAGTACCGCTACCCGTTTGGCCGAGGAGTAATACCGAAATTTTTTAAACCCGCCACTCCCTGCCTATCTTAAAAAAAAGGAAATGATTTTAAACTCGAGTTTCATCCACCACACGTCTTAAAAGGTGTGAAAAAAAAACCTCAAACACGCAAAAATCGTGAGCAGGAAAAAATTTCACCGTAGAACTTTTAAAAGAATAGCAGACTTTTTTTATATCGTCTTTCCATCGAAAGCTCTTTACATTTTCATTGCAATGCCTCCGCGGTGCCAAAGCACGGCAGGCATACCCACGTCGGCTGTTGTAACAATGCCTACCTCACCAGTTCCGCGATCATAAACAATGAATATCCGACGAATATTTCTTAAAAGTTGTCTTAAAGAATATTCTGAACGAAATTTTGTTAAACATATTTAGCAATGTCACGGAAATTTTCTAATTTTATAGTGCTGGGTGCCATGCGCCCTCTGTCATGTGGTAAAAGAAATAAAAGAAAGATCCGTCTGCGCCTGCTCTGCCAACCCACGAGCGTCGTCTGCTGATGAGTGCTCGGCCGCGCGTGTTGTATGCTCGCCGCGGTTCCTGCTATCTGATGACCAATATGGCGTCGGTGGGGATCATCGACGTGGTCGGCGTAGTGGAAGCTCATCGTTTCGTTTAGAGCGCTATTCTTGACCAAATTCTACTCGTGTGTCGCGATGCTAATTCAGCACGTCCTAAAAGGGAAGGTCCATCTACTCGTGCGGCGATGCTGTGGCGGCACCCTCATGATAGCAGATGCGCTCGTGCCGTCGTGTTTGTTTACTTCGACTACAGTGGTGCTTTCTTAGCATTTGCGTCCTCGAACATCGCCCGGATTTCTGAGTTCGCGCACGCCATGCGTGTTTTCATGTTCAAGGTATTACTGGTGCGTACTACTATTAACGGCGTATATAAAGGTTGAGAATTTGGACGTGTTTTCCTCACCCGGGAAAAGTGATTAGCATTAGCATTCCTGA